ACAATCTGTGGAAAAAATGTTGTGTCTAAATGTCAGTTACTTGCTCATATGACGATTCATACAGGTGAGAAACCTTTCTCATGTGAGACCTGTGGAAGAAGATTCACTCAAAAGCAAAGTTTAACTGTTCACATGAGATCTCACACAGGTGAGAAACCTTTCTCCTGTGAGACTTGTGGAAAAAGTTTCCAGAGGAAATCTCGATTAGTTAATCACATCAGAATTCACACGGGTGAGAAACCTTTCTCATGTGACACCTGTGGGAAAAGTTTCCGGAGTAAACATAAAATAGTTAATCACATCAGAATTCACACAGGTGAGAAGTAGCTTGCATTGATTTATCAGCTGGCTGATTAATAAATGTTGATTTCCTTAATTTTGGGACATTGGTGAGCAGCAGATACATGCATGTGAAGCTGATCTGATTCCTCAACGTTATTGACCTCAGCCACTGTTCTGTTCTCCGCTGTGAGGTTTGACTATTAGACCAGCTCACCATATCATGTCTGCACCCTTAGTGAAAAGTGAGGAAAATGTTTTGTGTATAGATCCAGTTTAAGTCATCACATGAAGATTCACACGGGTTGGAAGCTTTTATTTTGTAGATTCAGTAGAAAAAGGTTCACTCTAAATAAATGTAACTGTTCACATGAGAACTTGCACAGGTTTGATGGCACAATGTGAACCTCAAGATTCTCAGTAAGTTGCTGTTTGGAAGTGGAGTAATTGCAACCGACTTAAATTCTTAAATGTAGCAGGTTTTGCTTACAAAGCATTTTAATCTGGATATTTAGCTGAAATTCTAAAAAATTAATTTTATTCTTCCAGTTTTATATTTCCATTTTATTGAATGAGACTGAGGGAGAGATCGTCTAACAAACAATGAGTTGCTTTTTGGAAGTGGAGTAATTGCAACTGACTTGGATTTTATTCTGGCAGTTTTATATTTTTATTTTATTTAATCAGACTGAGGGAGAGATTGTCTCTAAAGAAACGATGACTTTAAATGATTTGAGATTTAGACTTCTAAAATGTTGGAAACTTTGTTGTGTTTGTATTCATTGTAATAATTTATTTTATTTCAATGATTTGGAGAAATGGATGCATTTCTTTGACATGGTTTTAATAATTTTCCTGCTTAGAAAATGTATTGATGATATGAATTGAATTTCAGATTGAAACTATTTATATAATTTTAGAAAATAAACTATTATAATGATGATCCTTTTCTTTTTTCCTGTTTAATAGAAAACTGTGTGAAAGACTAGATTTACATAATTATAGAGGCTGGAATAAAACCTGTTTAAAACAAAAAGTAAATCAGGAAAACCTTCATATACATAAACAGCAGCAGTCCACAGAGATCATCTCTTCCTCAACGTTGCATACATTCTAATAAAGTCGATATTCTTTTCATTCAACATTTATATTGAGTTCTATATTTATACTAATAAGAGATAAAACAAAATGAGCCATAATTTAACAAAGAATGAACCTAAATAATCAAAACTTTAAAATTCAAAGCAAGTACAATTAATCATTTTAAACAACCTTCAGTACTTAAACTGGTGAGTTAGAAGTGAAGGAGTCATGGAACATAAACTATATTTTGATCTTATATAATAGTAAATGTCAGGGTTTATCATTCTATTTATTTAATATTCCTGCTGGAACAATGTTCTTCCTCTGTATTTTCTTTTGAAGTATTTGGTGAATTACTGAGTAACTGATCATAACACCTAATTCAATATTCAGTGTCTCCTCAGACTGACAAAAGTATAACAGTTATGTGAATATTCTGGTATTTTAAAGAGAATTTCTGAAAATATTGATACCAATAAGGAGTTTGGTTTAGAGGCCAAATTTACCACAAGGGCCAATGTGATCGGTTTCATGACGACACTTAAAAAAGAATGAAACAAAACAACAGATCAATATTTTATAATTTGATATAATAAATGAGCCAAAGAGCCTCTTGAGTCTCCAGAGATCCAGGTTGCAGAAACCTGGCAGATTGAACAGCAGCTAAAAGTGCAAAAATTTATTAAAGTAAAATTAGGAAGGTTAAATAAATCTACCTCTAAATATTAACTAAAGGCTTTAAATTTAAACCAACAGAACAATAAAAGCATCCTGGTTAACTTCATACTTATTTGAAATATCTTTATAAAAATAGAAAATATATATGTGACTTTGACAGAATCAGGATTTTATTAGTTATTGCAAGAACAACAAAACATCATCAGTGTTTTCTCCAGACTGATCTATTGTAACTAAACCACAGGTGTCAAACTCCAGTCCTCAAGGTGACCTGCAGTGTTTAGATGAGCCACAGGTACAAAACACTGCAATGAAATCACCATAATTACCTCCTCCTTGTGTGGATCAGATCTGCAGAGCCTTAATGACCTAATTACTCTATTCAGGTGGTGCAGCAGAGGCTCAGCTAAAGGTTTCAGGGCATCAGCCCTCCAGGACTTTAAAAGAAGAGACTCAGCAGAAAATTTAAAGCCAAACTAATAATCACTTCCAGTTTCTTCAGCACAGCAACAGTGAAACACGTGAAACATAAAAACAGAGCAAATGTCTGGCTTTACTTTTCCTCTTGAAGACTGTTTTGCAGTTTAGTTAAATATTTCTGTGTTTAATGTAAAAATGTCTTCAGTTCAGCCTCAGAGAGTTTATCAAGCAGCAGGAAACTCCTGCTGAAGAAACATTCACAGAGTGGAAAGAAATCAACGTTAAGATGGAGGAAGAGATGGACGATCAGCGCAGACTGATGGATTTTACCCGGCTACCCAAGATCATCTTGCACCGGATAGGTACGAAACAGCTGCAGTAGCTGTCATTATTTTAATTGATTGTATACATTGATATTAATTTATTTGGTGAATCAATAAAACCAGAGCACACAGAGCATGCTCATTGCTCTGTGATAGTTCTGTGCTGCCTGGCTTCATGCAGCAGGAGAAAAGTGAGAACTGTCACAGTGTTTGGTTATTTCTGCTTGTTGTTCCTTGGTCTGTGTTCATGATGGAGCGTTGTTTACCACTAGTGCATTGCCTTAATTGCTATGTTTAATAGTGCAGACAGTGGTGGTTTCTGACATGAGAAATATGGGCAACCGCCCAGGGCGTTAACTTTTAGGGTTGGCATGAGACTTCCATGGATTGTAGCACAGAGCAAAGTAGAACAAAGAGTTTGATTTGATAATATTGGTTAAATTGATTTGTTTTTATGGGAATGTGGATCTTTCAGACCAATTTGATTAGCACTTTTGCTAATATTTCACATTTTATAGTCATGTGGCGGCTGGTCTTGGTCTCTACTTAGATGGTCTTGACTATAACACTATGTAAAGCTATTTAAAGGGCCGTTTCATTTAACTAAAAAGAAATGTCATAAGACTAATGGTCAGATATTGACTTAGCAAGCAGAGTTAATAGAGACGGTTCAGTTTAAATATTTAGTACTTTACTGTAAGTTACAGTGTGGGACCATTATTTGACAAGCGCCATCATATTCTGTGTCCATAAGAATAGCAAAGTATGATGTAAACTTGCAACAGCGCCTCCTACAGTCACAATGTGCAGTGGTCACAGAATATGGTATAACGTCACTGTTGGTGAGAAGCGAATCTTGAAGGGGAGTTAACGTCAGCTAGCCAGACTGCATATTTCCAAATGTTGGCACATTTGACGGCACTAAAGTTTAATTGACGGTAAATTTATTAACCACATGCAGACATTGTTTATTCTAAATAAGGTAAATAACAATCTCTCTGAAAGACGATGGAAGAGATTTCATTTTAAAATGTTTGCTGAGAATTACATTTTCCTCTCCTGGGGGTTTCTGTGGGCTCTAGTGTCCCTTATAAGAAAGAAGGCTGACAGGAATGTAGTAAGGAAAGACATGCGGCAAATAAAGTCGGATCCGGAAATCAAACCCGTGACGGCCGTGTGGAGGATTGAAGGACTCCAAACGTGGGTTGCGCTACCACAGCACGACCCCTGATGAAGAATATTTTCATTTTAGTTTTTGTTAAAGTAAAGAATTTATTGTGTGACCTCACATTTTGACTTTTTTGTCCAGATCTCCCACAATGCAGTGTGTGCAAAGAGGAGGAGAATCTAAATGAGCTCAGAAACCCAGAGAGAAACTTCACTTCAGATCAAGATCATCCAGAACCTCTGCAGATAAAACTGGAAAAAGAGGAACCAGAACCTCTGCAGATAAAACTGGAACAAGAGGAACCAGAACCTCTACAGATGAAACTGGATCAAGAGGAACCAGAACCTCTGCAGATGAAACTGGAACAAGAGGAACCAGAACCTCTGCAGATGAAACTGGATCAAGAGGAACCAGAACCTCTACAGATAAAACTGGATCAAGAGGAACCAGAACCTCTGCAGATAAAACGAGAACAAGAGGAACCAGAACCTCTGCAGATAAAACGGGATCAAGAGGAACCAGAACCTCTGCAGATAAAACGGGATCAAGAGGAACCAGAACCTCTGCAGATCAAAGAGGAAGAGGGGCAACTTTCCATCAGTCAGGATGAAGAGCATCTTGTGATGAAACAGGAAACTGATGACATTTTGAACAAACAGCAGAAAAACTCCAAAGAGACTTCAGAACAAGAAACGCACATGAAAGCTCAACCAGACCAAAATCTATATTCTTGTCAAATTTGTGATAAAACCTTTTCTCGAAATAGTTCCTTGATGAATCACAAGAAAACTCACATGGCTAAGAAACCTTTCAAATGTTCCACCTGTGGAAAACGTTACCCTAAAGAGAGTCGTTTAAATGATCACATGAGAATTCATACAGGTGAAAAACCGTTCACTTGTCCAGCTTGTGGAAAATGTTTCCATCTAAACAACTCTTTAAACAGACACAAGAAAATTTTCTTTGTTGAGAAATCTTACACATGCCCAATCTGTGGAAAAAAATCTGTGTCTAAATGTCAGTTACTTGCTCATATGTCGATTCATACAGGTGAGAAACCTTTCTCATGTGAAACTTGTGGAAAGTGTTTTCAGAAGAAATCTAAGTTAGTTAATCACATCAGAGTTCACACCGGTGAGAAACCTTTCTCATGTGAGACCTGTGGAAAAAGTTTCACTCAAAAGCAAAGTTTAACTGTTCACATGAGACTTCACACGGGTGAGAAGTCTTTCTCATGTGGGGCCTGTGGAAAATGTTTCACTTATAAAAAAAGTTTAAAACTTCACGTGAGAATTCACACTAGTGAGAAGCCTTTCTCATGCGAGATTTGTGGAAAAAGTTTCACTCATAAAATCTACTTAACTGCTCACATGGTAACTCATACAGGTGTAAAGCCGTTCTTATGTGGAACTTGTGGGAAATATTTCCCTTATAAAAGAAGTTTAAATTGTCACATGAGAACTCACACGGGGGAGAAACCTTTCTCATGTGCTACCTGTGGGAAAAGTTTTGCTTTTAGGTCTGATTTACTAAATCACATGAGAACTCACACGGGGGAGAACCTTTCTCATGTGCTACCTGTGGGAAAAGTTTTGCTTTTAGGTCTGATTTACGAAATCACATGAGAACTCACACAAGTGAGAAGCCTTTCTCATGTGTGATTTGTGGGAAAAGTTTCCCTTATAAAAACAGTTTAAATCGTCACAGGAGATCTCACACAGGTGAGAAGCCTTTCTCATGTGGGATATGTGGAAAACGTTTTACTCAAAAACAGCACTTAACATCTCACAACAGAATTCACACTGGTGAGAAGTAGCTGTGCATTGATTTATCAGCTGGCTGATTAATAAATGTTGATTTTCTTAATTTTGGGACATTGGTGAGCAGCAGATACATGCATGTGAAGCTGATCTGATTCCTCAATTGTATTGACCTCAGCCACTGTTCTATTCTCCGCTGTGAGGTTTGACTATTAGACCATCTCACCATGTCATGTTTGCACCCTTAGTGAAAAGCGAGGAAAATGTTTTGTGTATAGATCCAGTTTAAGTCATCACATGAAGATTCACACGGGTTGGAAGCTTTTATTTTGTAGATTCAGTAGAAAAAGGTTCACTCTAAATAAATGTAACTGTTCACATGAGAACTTGCACAGGTTTGATGGCACAATGTGAACCTCAAGATTCTCAGTAAGTTGCTGTTTGGAAGTGGAGTAATTGCAACCGACTTAAATTCTTAAATGTAGCAGGTTTTGCTTACAAAGCATTTTAATCTGGATATTTAGCTGAAATTCTTAAAAATTTTATTCTGCCAGTTTTATATTTCCATTTTATTGAATGAGACTGAGGGAGAGATTGTCTAACAAACAATGAGTTTGAATGCTTTGAGATTTAGACTTCTGAAATTTTGGAGTCTTTATTGTGTTTTTATCCTTTGTACATATTTTTATTTTAATGATTTGGAGAAATGGATGCATTTCTTTAACATGGTTTTAAATAAATTTTCTGCTTACAAAATGGTTTGACGATGTGGATTGAATTTCAGATAAAGTCATTGAAACTTTTTCTATAATTTTAGATGATAAAGTATCATAATGATGGTCTTTTTCTATTTTTCTGTTTAGTCAAAGACTGTGACAGAATCGATTTACATAGAGACTGAAATAAAACCTGTTTGAAACAAAAAGTAAATCAGGAAAACCTTCATATATAAACAGTTAACTTCTCACATGTCATTAATTTGATTTCAGCACCTCTGAGATCTAGAATTATAAGGCTGAGATATCAAGGTAAACAAAGAGAACCCAGTAGCTGCTGGTAGGGGCCCTCCAGACATTATTACAAAATATAAATAGAAACTGGTTTTATAACTTCAACATCAGACCTACGTTTTTATTCACAAGTGTAAGTTAGAAAAATTAATTATTGCCCAAAATTTGACCGTTAGAGGTCACAGTTCAGCCCCGCTCTTCCTCGCCACGGACCCGGTGTCTGAACAACGTGGAGGCAGAAGGACTGGGAATCCTCATAATTAGACCAAGGGCAGCCAGACTCATTAGTTTTGCTAGGTGTTATATTTAGAGGCACAAGAAGGCCTCCTGACACAAAAGACTCAAGTTGAAAACAAAAATAAACTCAAAAAGGGCTCTGGGGGCATCAAGGGTAAAAGGGGCAGGGCTCAAGCCCTCTCCAGACCCCCTCTGCATGTGCCTGCATATGAATGCTTGTCTTTCTAAGTTACCATCCAATAAAATATCTGAAAATACAATTTAAACGATGTTAGAAAAATGGCTCTGCAAACTCCCGCATTATTACTTCCTGCACCTCCTGGTTTTAGCTGTAGATTGTTGATCCACTTTTCTATTTTTTAGATGTTTTTTTCTAAATTAACTTCCTTGTGACCGACTACCTTCAAAACACAAAGATAAAGTTTTTCTTTCTCTCTATTAGAATGGTTAGAACAACCACACATGGCACAGACTTAAGACATTTTGATGTTTAAGTCAAAATGCCTAAATGTGCTGCATTTACTTTCTGACCCCCACCTCCATGGTAAGGCATCGGTGCTACATCATCTGAAACCCAGCAATTTATGGGAAAAAAGAATAATACACTGCCTTAAAATGTAAAATACTTTATTTCAAGTCATACATGTAAAAGTCAACAATGTAAAAGCTGAACTCAATAACTACATGACACAGAACTGCAAGACACCTGAAATCCACAGAAATTAAACCTTCCTGAAGACATTCCCCTCTTTAACTTCAGTATCTAATGGGACACTGATGGGAACCTTAAGTACAAATGTGACTGAGAAATAAAACAAAAAACTGATTTTAGAAAAACAAAGCTGGTAGACAAAAATGGACCTCAAGTCTATCTTAGTACAAGACATTCAGAGCATCGACTTGGCTTTGGATGAATGGATATTTTTGTGCAGAATTGGCATGGATTTAATTTATAAGTAAAGGTAAGATGGGAAAAAACATGTTTTTGTTTAGTTTTTTAATGAAATATGCATTTTGTGGGCCACAGTCTGTATGTCTAAAGAATTCAGTAAAGTAGAAATGTTAGCTAATCTACCACAGCAATGATTTATTAATAAAACACTAAGACTAAAACAAACTACTGCAAAAAACTCAATGTTCTGTTCTGTGACCAAAATTCTTTATTTTTTTATGTTAAATCCTAAAACATGGCATTGTTATCAGTTGCTATTGCAACGAGTCTGCATGTAGCTTGGGTGATGCAGAGTGAGAAAGTGGTTTAGGTTTCTCCCTTTGCTGTGGATCATAACACGAAACAATACCTACATTTCTGAGTTTCACCTGGTTACTACAGCTATGGATGACGTGTAAAAGAATGGTCTTTCTGCCCTCCAGCGTTGTATGCATGAGCAAAATTTCTGAGTAACCAATAACATACATGGTGTCTGTATTTATACATCGTAAAGCCTCACCGCACGTCACTGTTTCACACCCATATGAATCTTTATGTGTTTAAGTAATTGTTGTTTCATCCTGAAACTCTTTCCACAGGTCCCACATGAGAAAGGCTTCTCACCTGTATGAATTCTCATATGCCGAGTTAAAGTCCCTCTGTCACTGAAACTCTTTCCACAGGTTGAACAAGTGAAAGGCTTCTCACCTGTGTGAATTCTCATATGCTGAGTTAAAGTCCCTCTGTCACTGAAACTCTTTCCACAGGTTGAACAAGTGAAAGGCTTCTCACCTGTGTGAATTCTCATATGCTGAGTTAAAGTCCCTCCTTCACTGAAACTCTTTCCACAGGACCTACAAGTGAAAGGCTTCTCACCTGTGTGAATTCTCATATGCTGAGTTAAAGTCTCTCTGTCACTGAAACTCTTTCCACACGTCTCACACCAGAAAGGCTTCTCACCTGTGTGAATTCTCATATGTTTAGTTAAAGTCCCTCTGTCACTGAAACTCTTTCCACAGGTTGAACAAGTGAAAGGCCTCTCACCTGTGTGAATTCTCATATGCCGAGTTAAAATCGTTTTTTGTCTGTAACTCTTGCCACAGGTCCCACAAGTGAAAGGCTTCTCACCTGTGTGAATTCTCATATGCTGAGTTAAAGTCCCTCTGTCACTGAAACTCTTTCCACAGGTTGAACAAGTGAAAGGTTTCTCACCTGTATGAATTCTCATATGCTGAGTTAAAGTCCCTCCTTCACTGAAACTCTTTCCACAGGTCTCACACCAGAAAGGCTTCTCACTGGTGTGAATTCTCATATGTTTCGTTAAAGTCCCTCCTTCACTGAAACTCTTTCCACAGGACCTACAAGTGAAAGGCTTCTCACCTGTGTGAATTCTCATATGCTGAGTTAAAGTCCCTCTGTCACTGAAACTCTTTCCACAGGTTGAACAAGTGAAAGGCTTCTCACCTGTGTGAATTCTCATATGCCGAGTTAAAATCGTTTTTTGTCTGTAACTCTTGCCACAGGTCCCACAAGTGAAAGGCTTCTCACCTGTGTGAATTCTCATATGCTGAGTTAAAGTCCCTCTGTCACTGAAACTCTTTCCACAGGTTGAACAAGTGAAAGGCTTCTCACCTGTGTGAATTCTCATATGCCTAGTTAAATTCGTTTTTACACTGAAACTCTTTCCACAGGTCCCACATGAGAAAGGCCTCTCACCTGTGTGAATTCTCATATGCTGAGTTAAAGTCTCTCTGTCACTGAAACTCTTTCCACAGGTTGAACAAGTGAAAGGTTTTACTCCTGTGTGAGTTCTCATGTGTCTCTTCAAGTTACTGTTTCCAGAAAAGGTTTTATCACAAATTTTACAAGAATATATGTTTTGCCCTCTATGAGTTTTCTTCTGCGGTTTTTGTTTTTCAGCATCAGTTCTGTCTTTCTGCTGTTTGGTTTTCTCATATCTCTCCTTTGGTTTCTGTTCTTCCTTTCTCTTTTTTCCTGGGTCTTCAGAATTGCTTCCTTCCTGATCCTGGTTCTCAGTTTCTGCAGAGCCATGAGAGATGAGTTGGTTCCTCTGTGGTTTTGTGTCATTGAGAATCTCCTCTTCTTCACACACAACATTGTGGAAGATCTGGGAAATAGACAAAAAAAAAAAGTTTTTTAAATGTCAATCAAACAAGAAATCCACTTTGATGCCTTCATGTATAGAAACAGGATTTTCTTAGGTTATTCGAAAATTACAATCTTACAAGAATGAACATTAACTCAACTAAGAAGTTAACGTTCTATGTTCTAGAACATTGGATGTTCTAGAATGGAACTATGACCAGAACTAGTTTTATTCTGGTCATTGCTCCATTCTAATGACCAGACTGGAACTAGACTTGAGTCAAAATATGATATTAAGAATCTCCAGGTGAGCAAATAAGATGGCAATAGCTTAATCTAGTAGCTTCCTGACAAATATTACATAAAATCTTCTTCCTCCATGTAGAGACAGGAAGAAGACGCCTACATGGAGGAGGAGTCAGATGTTCAGGTCACCTGACTTTTGGACATGTACCCTGACCACACACACGGTGTCGCAATCCGACTGGGAGATTGTGGACCAACGCTGGTGGTGATGCGGGCTGTGTGCCTGTAATGGGCGCAGGGGAAGTGCACCCATTATATGTCACCAGATATATATCACATTAAAGAGTGACATAAAATGCCTAAAGGGAAACCATAAAGTAATTTTAATCTCACCCGCTGATATTGTCAGACATTGCTCCGCTCACACACTCAACACAAACGTTCAAAAGCACAACTAAATCTCAGCCTTTACTTTCCTGGGATTCACAGCAGAATTGGTAGCAGTGGGTGATTGTTGTTAATCGCACACATGCAGAAAATAATGGCAAAATGAACCAATGGAAAATATTTGACATGAATATTGGACAATTTGGAAGATTAAATATGAAAGGTGAAAATGTACAATGATAAAATTATTTAACAAGTTTATTTAAGACACAATTTAGTTAATAAGTCATTTACTATGTTTACATTATGAAAATGGAAACTTAGCAGCCAGACAAGACAATTACTAAATATGCTTTTGATTGTTGTGATCATTATTATCACCTGGTTCCACTTCCTGTCGTGTCACCATAAAATAATTCCCCAATGAAAGTGGAGGGCGGGGCTTTGGGCGGGTCTAACACTGACCTTCTTTAACTTAAATTTGAGCCATTATTCTGTCAGAATAGCTGACATGCATTGAGTACAAATGAGCATTAAGAGGCGCTGTCAGCTCAGCATATGTGACAAGATACAAGAGAAAGTCAATAAATATTTTCTAGTGATAACTGTATGGATAGTAGCGTTGCTGTAAACAACTATTTCAGTAATTGAGTAATCTATTAATTATTCTTATGATTAATCAAGTAATCGGATTAAAAACGTATATAAAATAAAATATTGGTAAATCTGCTATAACACCAGTGTTACTATCAGATATCAATATCAATCCAATTTTTCATATTGGAGCATCCCTAACAGTCATTTCTTTGTAGTTTAGAAAACTGACCTGTAACAATAACATCAAATAACATAACATTGGAAGATGCACATTCTAGGCTAAACAATCACAGAGAAGTTTGATAGGGGAACTAGAAAATTCCTGAAGAAATTTAACCGAGGCCTGCCAAAGTGTGCCCGTCGGTTTTGACCCAGCGTTCTGATGCTAAACTTTAGCATCCATGCTAAAAAAAGCTGCAATGTCACCAATACAATGTGGAGAGTCACAAGCATGACTGACTGCATTCAGTATACTAAATATGGGTAATAAGTAAGGGAAATAGCTAATACCTCATGCAAGGTAAAAGGCTAATGCTAATCTAACCTGAGTGGAAAAGACCATGCAGGATAATCTTATTGTACTGCCTATGGCAGTGCACTGGTGGGGAACAGAGAAATGCTAATGTTTGTGCTAATGCTAATGCACTGTCTTGCTGCGCAAGACAGTGCCCTAACTTGAGAGGAAAAGATAATGCAAGCTAATATCATTGCAGCGCCTGCGGCGCTGCATTAGCCACGGCTGAATCTTAAGGCTTTTATTTTAAAATGTTCAGAATGTTTAATTTTAAATGGTCAATGTAATCCCATGTATAACAGTCATTTGGTTAAATCAGACATATAATGGTCAAAAGGAAACTTACTTAATATAAAAATTCTCAAGGCTTTTATTTTGAATTTTTTTTAAAGCTTAATTTAAAATTTCCACACTAATCCCATGTGTAACAATGGTTGGTTAAAAATAGTTATAAAAGGCCCAAAACACAAGCAGCTCTAAAGTCCAGCTTTTTTCTCTGAGTTCTGCCATAGTTAGAACTACAGTGATGCGTTTTTGTAGTCCTAATCAGCTGGCCCCTTTGTGTTCGGTTGCCATGGTAATGGATCCTCTGCCAGCTGTGAGTCAGACAGGGGGAGACTTAATTCTATCAGTTTGAGGCAGCCATTTTGCCTAAAATAGGCATGAGCCAGAAAGGAATCTTAAGACTTTTATTTTGAAATTTTAATTGAGATTAATTTTAAATGGCCAATCTCATCCCATGTTTAACACTGATTGGGTTAAATCAGTTATATAGTGGTCAAAAGAGCAATTACTTGATGGAAAAATTGTCAGGGCTTTTATTTTGAAATTTAATTAATCTTAATTTAAAATTGCCACACTTATCCTGTGTGTAACGATGGATGGTTAAAATCAGTTATAAAATGCCCAAACACAATGTAATTCTAAAGGCCAGCTCATTCCTCCTCAGTAGTAACTGACAGTTCCACCATGTTGTAGTTCTGATAATCAGCTCTGACCTCTTTTGTAGGCACTGAGTGTTCCGCCATGTTGTAGTTCTAACCTTCAGGAATTGTAGTTCTAAAGAGGTCAACTGTCATGTGTGTGAGGCAGAGACAGATTTCTATCTTTGTGAGACAGCTCAGTCAGTTATAATGGAAAAAGCAGCCCGAACAACTCCTTGCCGTTCGGAAACCGTGATACGTATCGGAAAACCGTTTGAAGCGTATGAGAGAGCTATTTTTTGTCTCCGATAGTCCTGCAAATCATATCTGTAGCTCATTCATAGTAATTACAGTGATGAGAGAAAAATGGTGTGCGCTGAGGTCTGAAATTTTCCAGAAAAGTATGAAAATATATGGTGGAGAGCGTCAGTTAGGCTGGAACTTGATTTTGCTCTAAAGCACATTGACAGAAAACCGTAAGCCCTAGAAAAATTTTGAAAACATTTTACCGGAGCAAACATTCGTATCTATGTCATGACCGAGTTTCATACCGATAGCACAATATTTGTGGGTGTGGCGGCGATTTCAAAATTTATTTGGGGTCAGAAATCCACTTCATTTTTCACTCTAGCTGAGCGGCAGTTGGTGGCAGTTATGCTCTGCGGTTCGGCAGTTGGAAATTTCGCTCGTTTTTCGCTTTTTACGTCGCAACGCCGATTCCCCATAAAAGTAATAGCTCCAATGCCGGGATCGAGCCACACGTTTTGATACCACTTTTGTGGGTGGGCTCGCAGCGATGCGAGCCGCATTCCGGTCTACGGAAGAAAAATAAAGACTAAAGAGGCGTTCTATTAGGTGAAGAACAATAGGTGCCTGCCATGCAATGCATGGAGGCAGTGACTGACTTGCTTCGCAAGTCAGTCACTGCTCTCCTTATGCATTGCTATGGGCAGGGCCCCAATTAAAAAACTGTGTCGGCGATATTCAGGGTGCACAGTGGGTCAGGAGAGGAACCGCAGACCCGTCAGAACCTAAAGAACCAGACATCAGTCTCTTCATCCCTCAGTGATAGAGACTGAGAAATAATATGAATGGCAATTTACAGAACAAATCATACAAATAGGTTAATAATATTGCGAAGAGAAACCGACTCAGAGACAGTGCAATAATATTAGCCTGCATGATCTTTTCCTCTCAGGTTAGGGCTCTGCTTTGCTGCACAAGCATCAGCCTTTTCCCTGCAATAAGCTTCTAGCTATTTTTATTACTTATTAGCCATGTTTAGGACCCTGAATGCAGGAAGTCAATGTAAGACAACATTGTAATGATGCCCCACATGCTACTAGCAGCATTTAGGCTAACATTAGCATTTTGGCTCATTTTAGATTATACACTAATTTTAACAAACTGAATGGAGGAAGTCCATATTAGTCAACATGCATGTGACTTTCCACAGGCTATTGACTATAATTCAGCTTAGCTTAGTATTGATGCTAATTGTTAGCATCAGAGCGCTGGGTCCAAACTGGGGCCACACTTTAGCAGGCCCCGGTTACATTTCTCCAGGGATTTTCTATTTCTACTTAATTTGAGCGGATTCTTTAAATAGGTATCCGAACACAACGACTATTTATCTGTAAAAACTCTCTTTAACCTCACTAATCAGTAAACCGTGAAGCTGTTTCGTACCTATCCGGTGCAAGATGATCTTGGGTATCCGGGTAAAATCCATCAGTCTGCGCTGATCGTCCATCTCTTCCTCCATTTTAACGTTGATTTCTTTCCACTCTGTGAATGTTTCTTCAGCAGGAGTTTCCTGCTGCTTGATAAACTCTCTGAGGCTGAACTGAAGACATTTTCACTGAAAACACGGAAAAAATTAGTTGAACCTCAAACTCTTCTTCAAACAACCGTCTAACAAAGGAAAAGCTAAAGCGAGCCCGC